ATATGACAAACCATGATTTTCTTTTCTGACCTGTGCAGAGTAGGGAGTGTCGGTTCAGATATATATATATATATATATGGATCAGCGAGGGATGTTCAAACAACCTGCTTGTGCACAGGTCAGGGTGGGAGCAATTCAGTAATTAGGTTTGAGTAGAAGTAAGGGAGAAAAGATGCCTGGTTAGTCCCTGGCTGTACGTGTAGTCAGTGTGACAAGTGGTGAAGGAACGAATAGCAGGGATGAGCAAAGTGGTGCATGAAGTAAATGAAAACTTGCAAAGCGTGTGGTGTATGCAAACCCTTACCCTGGTAGAATGCAAAATGGAGAGCAAGCTTCCAAAGCCTGTAAAGAAAATGCTAGGAGCCAGGCACAGTGATGCATGCCTGTTATCCCAGCAGCTCAGGAAGCTGAGGCAGGAGGATCATGAGTTCAAAGCCAGCCTCAGCAACTTAATGAGACCCTAAGCAACTCAGTGAGACTCTGTCTCTAAATAAAATATTTTTAAAAATGGCTGGGGATGTGTGGTTCAGTGGTTAAGCACCCCTGGGTTCGATTCCTGGTACCAACAACCACAAAAAAAAAAAAAAAAAGAAAGAAAGAAAGAGAGCGAGAGAATAGCAGGAATCTCTAGGATTCTCCCTCTTTCTCCTTAAATTCTATCGCATCCACTATGAAGACACGTGTCACATTTTACCTTTTCTATTTTCGCTAGTACTACCATCTTCTCTCATCTGAACTGCGATGGTAGCCTCAGATTGTCTGTTACCTGTTTTCCCTCCTTTTTCACCCATCCCTTTCAACCTTGTTTCTCAAAGTACACTCCACAGACCAGCAGCATCTATCTCACCAAAGAGCCTGATCAGTTCTCAAAAATGCACATTCTCAGGCCCTGCACACAGCTATTGAATCTGAAGCTGCACTTTCTCATTTGAGAAGCTGTGCCCCAACTATTTCCAGGCCAATGCTTCTAAAACACAACTCTCAACTATGTCAATTTCCTGCTTAAAACCATTTAATTACCCCATCCCTATCTTGCTCCCCATCCCCACCTTACTCCCCATCTTCATTGCACGTGGCTTTGTGTGCCCCAAGAAGTATGTATGGCTCCTGCCCTTCTTTTCAGTTACTTTATCTCACTTTTTCCTTTAGCAACACCAAACTGCTTGCAGGTTCATTGTTCATAACAGGTTTCCTAAACTCTTCTGCCTCTGATACCCTTCTTTCCCTCTCCTCATTTGGTTACCTCCAACTCTTGCTTCATGGCCGATTAGGTGTCTCCTCTGTTAGGAATCCATTACCCATCTTTTTGGGTTTGGTGCCTGTTGAATGCAATTTCATGATGCTTCCTGCCTACCAGTCTCCACAAAGGTCCAAACTACTGTTATTAACTATTGATGTGCCTGCTTTGTCTGCCAGACTATGTGCTAATGCCTGTGTCTTGCTCACCACAGTCTCCCTGGACACTAGGAGAGAACCCAGCACGGAGCAGCTGCTCAGTGTGTTGAACTAAAGGGATGGTCAAAAGGGTCACAAAAGGGTAAAGGTAAATTCAGAAGGACAAAGGCAAGCATGGCAAAATTAATCTGAGTTTTAGCAGATGAAAAACCACATCAGGAAAACAAAAGAACTCAAAAAACGAGAATAAAGAATGAGAAAAATTCATGCTAAAGGAAACCTACCCAAGATCATGGAGGAGTTAAAATAGTCTCAGGTGTGTCTAGCTCCAGAACCCATATTCTTAGCCACCATGATATGCTGTTTCTTCCTACTTATTTCAGGTGCTCAACACATTCTTGGAATTCCTCTTTGACCTTTTGTAATTGGATGCATTCTTTCCAAAATGCATCACAAGTCTTCATTATTTGAGACTGGACTTAGTGTTTAGAAAAAAACAAGAAATGGTAAAGTATGGTAACTAAAGTGCTATGGACTGACTTGGCTTCTCCCCAAATTCGTATGTTGATGCTGTCACCCAAAATGTGATTGTATTTGGAAATAGGGCTTTTAGAAAGTAATTAAGGTTGCCAGTACAGTGATGGATGCCTATAATGACAGGTAGACAGGAGACTGAGGCAGCAGGATCACAAGTTCAAGGCCAGCCTCAGCAATTTAGCAATACCCTGTCTCAAAAGAATTAAAAGGGTGTGATGGCACATACCTGTAATCCCTGCAACTTGGGAGACTGAGGCAGGAGGATCACAAGTTCAAAGCCAGCTTCAGCAACTTAGTGAGGCCCGAAGTAACTTAGCAAGACCCTGTCTCAAAATAAAATATAAGAAGTACTGGGGATGTTGCCCAGTTGTTAAGGTTCTCTGGATTCAATCCCCAGTATTAAAAAAAAAAAAGTAATTAAGATTAAGTGAGATCATAAGGGTAGGGTCTTTATCAAATGGGATGGGTGGTCTTATAAGAAGAGAAAGAGATCTCTCTGTGTTCTTTCTGCCCCTCGCCTCATGTAAGAACACAGTGAGAAGGCAGCCATCTACAAGCCAAGAAGAAAGTCCTTACCAGAATCATACAAGGCTAACACTCTCATTCCAGATTTCCAGCCTTTACAATTGTAAGCAATTAAATTTCTATTATTTGAGTTGCCCACTCTATGGTATGCTGTGATGGCAGCCTGAGGTGAGCAAGATAGTCATATTTGGGGTTAAAAAAATGAGATAGAACCATAAAGGATGAGTGATTAGCATTTGTAATGTTGAGAACAATTTTGTAAGGGAAGCGCAAATATTTTGAATGTCAGAACATTAGAAATAGAGAATCATCTATAAGACACTTCATATGACATGCTTTTAACTGTTATAGAATCCATTGCATTTCTCTATAAAATATAATAAGCACAAAGAAAAAGTAAAAATAACCTATTCTACTAGGGCTAATAATGTGCTATATTTTATTCCAATTTATTGTTTTTGAAATCTTTATTCATCTGGGTGCAGTGGCTGTGCCTGTATTCCCAGCAGCTCAGAAGGCTGAGGCAGAAGGATAGCAAGTTCAAAGTCAACCTTAGCAACTTAGTGACACTCTATCTCTAAATTTATAAAGTATAACAAAGGCTGGGGATGTGGCTCAGTGGTTAAGTGCCTTTGGGTTCAATCCTGGTACCAAAAAATAAAAAATAAATAAATCTTTATTGTAAAGTTCAAATATTTTAAATTATGCAGTGAGATACATATATATTACAATCTCTTTTTTCTAATGTTGTCCAGTCACCATGGACAACATTAGAAAAAAGAGATTTTAATTGATAAAATTTCTAAATTGATACAATTTCCTAAAGCAAAAACCCATAATAAGGGCTGGGGATGTGGCTCAAGCAGTAACGCGCTCGCCTGGCATGCGACGGGCACTGGGTTGGATCCTTAGCACCACATAAAAATAAAATAAAAGATGTTGTGTCCACTGAAAACTGAAAAATAAATAAATTCTTTCTCTCTTCTCTCTCTCTCTTTTAAAAAAAACCCATAATAAGTCATATACATATATAAGTGAATACTCTAAATTATGTATTTTAACATAAAACATATGTATTTGTATTCGCATATACCATCAATGATTTCCAGCATTGGTTTATTTAAGGTGGAAACAGAATGTAGATGCTTGGGAATCAATTTGAGTACAGAATCCTTTCAGATTTTGATATATTTTCTCCTCCAAACTTTTACTGCTACCATAGCCAAAACTATTTGACAGCACAGTTTTGCAAATTTCCCCAAGTCTTACAAAAATATCAACTTAATTTTCATAGAAACAACTCTTGCTTCCACTGCTCATAATAATTTTTGATATACATATAAGTTAATTGCAATTAAATAACAAGTAGTGCTGTAAAACATATGTTCAAGAAAATTATTACTAGTCAGCATGGGACTCAACTGGTGGATGTCAAAATATACAATCATACTAGTGTAGTATGCTGCCCATGAGCTTTCTTCATAACATGGGCATATGCCAATATTTTTCCATTTTTTAATTTTTAAAATTTATTGTTATTGTTGATATTCTTATCATTATAATTTTATGTGTGTGTATGTGTGTGTGTGTGCACGCATGTGTGCTACTGCCAATAAAATCCAAGGGCACTCTAAACCCCCAGACCTTTTTAATTTTATTTTGAGACAGGGTTTCACTAATTGCAAAGGCTGGCCTCAAGCTTGAGATCCTCCTGCTCCAGCCTCCTGTGTTATTTGGATTACAGTAACGTGCCACTGTGCCCAGCTCTACCAATATTTTAAAGTGGAAATGGAAAGCATTGTCTTCATCATTAAGCAGAAGCTGGTTAAGACAGTTTCTACTGTCCTTGCTTATTAAAAAAAAAATAAATTAACAGACATGCACAGAGTGAAAAGTTAAAGTCCCCCATTCTCTCTTCAATAATCATGCCATTAACTGCTGCACCTCATTTCATACCCATTTCATTGCATTCATCTATGCACGTGCCGAGCTTACATCATATGATGTGGTATGTGCTGCAATAAGAACTTAAGGTGAATTATCTTGTTTAATCCTCACAACAAACACATGAACCCATGAGATAATACCACCATTATCTCCAGTCCATAGATGAGTAAACTCAGGCTTAGAAAAGTTGAGTAATTTTCCCAAGGTCACTTAATGACAAACTATTCTTCCTCCTGAGAGGATTACCATACTACCTTACTTGGATCAAGTTAAATATTTGGGTCCATTTATCTATTTATTCAGTAAACATTTATTGAATGTCCACTCTTTCCAGGTACTAGGCTTAATTGCCAGGTATCCAAACACATTTTTTTTCTTTTGTGGTACTGGGGGTTGAACCCAGGGGCATGCTGCTACTGAGATACTTCCCCAGCCATTTTTATTATTATTTTTTTTTTAATTTAGAAATAGGGTCTCAGTAAGTTGCTGAGACTGGCCTCAAACTTGTGATCTACCTGCCTCACCTTCCCTCCCATGTAGCTGGGATTACAAGTATGCACCCCACACCCAGCTAAACACAGGATTTCTGTATTCAGGTACCTTGAAAAGGTACGTTGTTCTGGGAGTTACACGATTGCCCTAATTCTTTCAGGTAGAAATTGAGTAGAGCAAGATTACAATTCAGGTCTATTTTAACAAATTGTTATATGACAGCTCTAGGTGCATAGAAAGTTGTGTAGAATTTTTTTTTAAATTTTTTTAGATGTTGATGGACCTTTATTTTATTTTTTTTTTTCATGTGGTGCTGAGAATTGAACCCAGGGTCTCACACATGCTAGGCAAGTGCTCTACCACTGAGCCATGACTCCAGCCCCTATAGATTGGTTTTTGAGCTAGCCATTTTGAATATTGTTTCCATGAAAAGATGAATTGTCATTGCTGTTGTTGTTTGGTACTGGGGATTGAACTCAGGGGCATTTTACCACTGAGCTACATCCCCAGCCAATTTTATTTTTTATTTTGAGACAGGACTTCAGTAAATTCCTGAGGCTGGCCTCAAACTTGCACTCCTCCTGCCTCAGCCTCCTGAGTCACTGGGATTACAGATGTGCACCACTGCAACCAATGAGGAATGAGTTTGGAACCCCCAGGAATCAGTGTTCAATGGTTATAACCCAGTAAATTAGACATTATAAATAAAAATTCACATGTGTTTTTGTGTATGTGTGTATATATATGTATATATATATATATATGTATATTACAGTACTCTACTGTACATTTATTAATTTTACAGTACTCTAATCTAAGGGAGATGATGGCAAGACAGGATTCCAGGTTGGAATTCCAGTTTCTTGAGAAGGGTTGACTGGTGGTACAGAATTTAGATCCAGTAAGGATCTTGATTAGAATGTTGAAATGTGCCAACTTAACAAGAGCAAGAAATTGTACAGATAATCAGAAGTTCACAAAAGAGAAAATAGAAAAGTCATAGATAAGGTAATATCATGACAAAGATCATCATGACATGAAATTGGAGGAATTGGATCATAATGGTAAAAAAAAATTAAAAGTTGCATGTTCAGACAGAACCAAGACCATACCTATTATGCAACACATTCCAGAAGTCTGGCCAATTTGAATGTACACTATGGAGGGCTGAAGGGAAATACCTGTCCAGGACAGAGATGGGGGTGAAGGACACTAGCCATGTGAGCGCCTGACCTCCAAATGCATAAATGCCAAAGGCTTTTAGAGTCATTTGGCAACATATACAGGGATGAAAGAATCAAGGGATTATTCTTATAAACATGGTATAGGATCTTACTGAAGGGAGCAGAAAGCCTTGATTTGAAACCTTAAAAGGATGGCTATATATTCTTTGTGACTACAGAAACATTTAAATATACAAACACATGGAATGTGGCAGCGTTGATAGGGAGGATTAAGTGCCCTGATGGAAAATAAGAATTAAAAATGAAGAGGAAAAAGGAAAATCTTGAGTGTCTTAAATTATTTGCAAAGAAACTGGAGTCTATGATGGAATTTAGTCCTTGTGACTGAAATGTTTCTTTGGTGTTGGAAAAAGTATTGCTGTCATCCCTCTCTCTTTAGAAATTCCTTTTTTTTTTTTTTCATAATAAAAATCCCATGGCAGCTCCTTGTCTGGAGGACTTTAAAAATAGGAGCGATTTCATCTGTCTGGAATGGTCTGTGTCAGCACTTGCCCTAGGCAAGGTTGCTACACAGGCGAAACGCCCCCGCCCCCTTCCCCCTACCAGGCACCCTCATCCCTAGCCCCCCACACTCTTGGCACCCCCCACCCTCAGGGCTGACTCTGACTTCCGGCCGGAGCTCCCATGTGAACTCCCACATCAAATCAAACTCCTTTCCTCAGTACAGCAGCTCTCTCTCCAGGTGCTAGGGATGCAATAGGTTTCACCCTTTGCGGCCTATTTGCATTTAAAAATAGGATCCTGGTTAACCCAAATGAATCTTGAGTCGGTGGAGCTCTGGGCTGTGTAACCAAGTGGAGGGAAGTCCAGGGGGAGAGGGGTGTGTTTTTGGTCAGTGGGGGAAGGGGCGAGATAGGCCGCCTTCCTGGAAGCTATTAAATCCCAGATGTGGGCTCTTTTCAGTGAGCTGCTGCCTTGGGGTGGGGGTGGATGGACTTTCTGACCTCTCAAGGTTGCTGTGGATTCTATGGGTCGGTGATTTCCAGCTACATTTCCCTGCACCCAGCTTCCTTTGCAGCGCTCCGGGCGCCTTGTGACTCGGCTTTAACTAGAGGTTTTCAGCAGTTTGTCTTTGTGCCTATCAGCCAGGGCCCAATTTTCCCATCACGGTCTTCCTTGCAAACAGCAATCCTTGGGTTTGGCAATGGTGGCGGCTGAAGATTAGCCCCAGCTATACTAAGTTCAAAGAGATTTCCACAGACAGCTCTTCAAAGCTCTTGTTTTCAGAGAAGAAGTCTAAGGAAGCCACTGCTTCATGCTCTCAGTGTGTGTGGGCTTTATGCAGAAATATTTGTGGCCTTATGTGAAAATATTTGTGGCCTTATGTGAACAGAGACTCCCGTATGGAGAGTTGGTGGGCAAAACTATCAAGCAAAATCTACTCAAGGAGTGCATATGATTAATTTGGTCCTTTTCATATTGGATTAGCAAACATTCAAGGTTTCCTACTATGTGCTAGGTTTTGAGTTGGACCAGATGGGTAACAAGGAAAAGAAAGCATGGTCCAGGCATCTTGGAGCTGGGGTTGTGGCTCAGTGGCAGAGCGTTTGCCTAGCACATGTGAGGCACTGGGTTCAATCCTCAGCACCGCATAAAAATAAATAGATAAAATAAAGCTACTGAATCCATCTACAACTAAAAATATTTAAAAAGAAAGATAGAAAGCTCAGTCCCAGCTGTGAAGGAATTCAGTCTAGGGGGCAGATAGACATTCAGCATAAGAAGCACCACGTTTGAGGTGAGCTAGGGTGCATGGGAGCACAGGGGCCTGCCTGTGGCCAATAAGGCTGATAGCATCAGAGACAGCTCCCCTGGGGAGATGACATCTGAGCTGAGTAGGAGTAAGCCAACCACAGAAAGGTGGGAAGGAAGGTCTGTGGAGAAGGAATGACATGAGCAGAGGCAAAGAAGCATGAAGCAACTTGACATGTGTGGGTAACTTAGAGCAGGCTGTGATTATTAGGGGAAAGTGTCAGGGAGAGGGGACAAGAAATGAGGCTGGAGGGGCAGGTCATGTGAGCGAGAGCCCAGCCTCTCTTACTGAGGAATATAAGCTTTATCCTGAGGAGAGCCTCTGAAGGATTTTAAGCAGGGGAGTAAAGGGTCAGATTTACATCTTGATTAAACTAACTGTCAATTGGGGGAAAATCATTCAAATTGCCTGTGAGATGAATTGATTAAAATTTCCATTGAAAGGGTAAATTTGCAGATCAAGCCATAGTTAAGTGCAAGGCTCTCTTTTTCCAAGAAGGGCTATCATTAAGCTGAGGCGTTTTCAGGGATGTTGCTGAAACCATGTATACATAAGATGCACATATGTGTTTGTAAAGCTCCCAACATCTTTTAGGAGGAATCAGGTCCTTTAAATGATGTGGTGGGTAAAGGAAAGGGGCTTTACGAGAGTCTTGCTGCTTCAACCCTTTATTCCAAACTGCAGCGACAACATAAGGTTAAGAAAATGCAAACTGTGCTGTGATCTCTTTGTTTTGTTTAGCAAAAGTCATCTGGAAAGGCACTGTTTAACCTGAGTTGCAGCCATCTCAATCTTGCTGAAAAGGAATATTTTGGGTTAGAATTCTGCAGCCATTCTGGAAACAATGTAAGTTTCTTTTATTGTAGGCTTGTTTTGTGTGTGTCTAGAAATGCTTGCAAAGGCAGTTTGCATCTAGGTATGTAGGGCTCAATCCCTTAACTGAAAAAAGAAACACCATTTACACACACCTTACAAAGTGATAGAATGTAATAACTATTGCCCCTTCCTCCTTGTTTATTAAAAGTCACCTCAGTTTTTCAAACACAAACTCTTCTACCACATGCTCCAGTTTTGTCACTCTCTGATCAGTTCTCCACACTGTATCCATTTTGACTTTCCAGAGGCTGGACCTCGATCCCCAGAATTAAGGCTCCTGACCTCCCCAGAAAATCTTTAGGGGATTCTTCCTTCCTCTTTTTCAGTCCTAACATTCACAATGTTCTTTTACTGTGTCCTGCGCTGGCATATCTACTCCAGAACCTTCCCAGAAAGGCTCCTCAGGTCTATTAAACAGTCCTTTGGGAGTCAGTAGGATTCAAAAATGGAGCCAAATGCCTTCATTAGTCTTTGTAGCAACTAATGAGACTTGTGTGTGACACCTTTGTCATCCAACTGAGGCAGGGGAGCAGTGATTCAAATGTCAACAACAAAGAGTTTATAGATCAAAAACATTCACTGTCATTGGAAAAATATGAGTGGGCAGATTGTGGTGAAGGTACATCATCTCTATGACACTGCTGTTTGTTTCCAACTATCTTTAGAAAGCTAAATAGTCCTGGTATTTGTTTATTTCTTGTTGCCCTTTTTCTGGTACCAAAAGAAAAACTGTTGTGCTCAATGCCATGTTCTAACAATTTTTTTTCATTGATGTTATTACAGGTTTGGTTGGAACTTTTGAAACCCCTAACAAAGCAAGTAAAAAGTAAGTATGGAAAATCATTTAAGGAATATAGTTTGCAGTTCACACTTGAAAAATATTTCAGCAATCCCACACTATTCCTTACCTTAACATAAGGGGAGAAAAGGACTTTGACATATTATCTCAATCCTTCATACATTCAGTATATTTGGCAATTTAGAAAATTGTTTTAATTTTGCCTGAGATGAAGGAGATCATGCCACTGGATCTTTGAGTACATCTGAAGAACACTGGTAATTATGGCGCTCTGTGGATTGGCTCTAGGAATAGATCTCATACTCTGGCACTGCAAATCTTCAAGCATCCTTAATGTCAATCTGCAATGCCATTCACTTTCTGCCTGAAGAGTCATTAGTTTTATGCCATCACAAACACCCCCCATTTGCTTCAGTTCATATTCGAGTGCCTTCTATGCATGAAATATTTCCCCCTATAGTTCACTATCTAGTGTGGTTGTTCTCAAATTTCAGAGTGCCTTAGGATCACCTGGGGTTCCTGCTAAAATACAGATTCCTGAACCTTATTTCTGGGTTGTCCACCAGCAATCTGCATGTTTAACCACTTCTGCAGGTGTTTCTGAGGCAGATGGACGTCAGTCAACACTTTGAAAAACACTGTTCGGTACCTCTTTTCCTGGTTCCTCTTCCCCCACCTGCTCTTTACATGTGGGTGCTTCTCACAGTTCTGTTTGTTCCTGCTGTGTAATGATCATCTGTCACATTATTCTAATAGCTTCCAAACTGATTCTCCCCAATCCATCATCTACATTACTCCCAAAGGGATCTATTGAAAACACAACCCTGACCACATTGGTCTCCTGCTTAAAATGCTTCCTGGCTCCCTTTTACCCACCAAGTAAGGTCCAACCTCCTCAGCATGATGACCCAAAGCACTGGTCTCTGACTACCTTTCTAGCTTTGCCCCTGTCACCAACCATCTGTATTCCTATCTCTGCTGACTTTAACAAAACTAACCTCTGGTGTAGGCATGATAGATAAAATATAGGATGCCCAATGGAATTGGAATTTCAGATAAACAATGATTTTTTTGTATAGTACATCCTATGTAATTATTATTTAAATGAAATTCAGATTGAACTGGGACTCTTGCACTTTTATTTGCTGAATCTGGTTGCCTTGTTCCATTCTCAGCTCCTCTAGAAAGACTTCCTTGACCGTCTTCAAACTTTTTTCTCCCTCTTGTGCTTTCCCAGTACTCAGTGCTTACAACACTTTGTGGATTTGGATTTGTCTATCTAGATATCCAACTCACCTACCACACTGGCAGCTAATAGCTGCCTTTATATTCCCAGAATCTGCCTAATATAGTCCTTGGCACATGGTAGGCATCCAAGAAATATTTACAGAATATCATGTATTGAATGGCACTAATGCTATGTGTATGTAGTTACTTGTTTCTTCTTGTTAGGTATACATGACAGTAGAGTGTATTCTGACATATTATACATACATGGAGCATAACTTATTCTAATTAGGATCCTATTTTGTGGTTGGACATGATACAGAGTTTCACTGGTCATGTATTCATATATGAATATAGAAAAATTATGTCCAATGTGACTACTTTTGATATTCTTTTTTTTATTTGTGGTGTTGGGGATGAAACCCAGAACCTTGTGCATGCTGGGAGAGTGCTGTACAACTGAGCTGCACATACCCTTGGCTCAAGTTTCTTATTTTCAAATGCAAGTAGGTGCAAAAATAGGTAGATATGGTTCTTCTAGTGTATATTTCAAGATATAGACATTGGTCCACACTGCTTCTAGTTCCTTTATGAGAGCCTTAAGCCAAGTGATAATCATGTGTTCCAGCTTAACTTGGGCCCTTTTCTCAAGCAGGAATGCAGAATCTCAAGCAGCAAGTGGTAGATTTTTTTGAATAGGACATTTCCGAGGACAAATAGTAGGCCCCAAAGGCGGCACATCTTTAAAAAAAGAAACTATAAGGGAGAGTGGGTAGGAGAGTGGTGGGAAAACTTTTCCAATTCCTGTCCACATAAAGACACTATACAAATGAAAAATTGAAGTTTAAAATAAAAGTCTAATGGAAAGGACAAATAGAAAGGGGAGGAAAGTAAAGAAGTAGGTGTGGGTGGGTGTCTGTGTATGTTTCTGTGTGTAAAGACCTGTAACTGTTATGATGGACATTTAATTACAACTTATGGAGATATTGTGTTTTAAGATCCTAAGGAGGTTGTTTTCAAATTTATGGTGAAATTTTTCCCAGTGGACCCTGGACATCTTCGGGAAGAACTTACAAGGTATAGTACCTTTGTGTCTGCTGCATGATGTTACTTGAGGATCATCATTCTCCATTGATTGGGAAGGGGCTTCTGGCTCCCCTTAGCAAGACTTGGCCCTATGTCACTCTCTGGGAGATGGAAAGGAGCAGGAGAGAGAAAGAGCCTGGCTGGTCTCCAAGATGTAAATCTTCAAAAGTTTGGAGCTTCAGGGAGAATGAGGGGTGATATTCTAGAAGTGGTAGCAAACCTGGCTGACCCTTAGGGGTTATGTGATTAACTGCTACAGCAATAACCATGCTCTCCCTCATAGCATGATACCAGCTGATTTCTGTGAACATTGAAAATAGGCACGTGTGTGTGTGTGTGTGTGTATATATATATATATATATATATATATATATATATATATATCTCATAAGTAGAATCCGAGACATTCTGTAATGATGATGTATACTTATGAAAGATGCCCTTTGGAATGACAATGTAAACCTACTTCTGCAAAAATTCATTGTCAATACAATACTCCCCCAACCCTTACTCTGCTTTCTAGACTTAGACTCTTAAACATAGAACAGATCTAAGAGATAACCCAGTCCAACCCTCTTGGTTTACAGATGAGGAAACATGTCCTGGGAGTTAAAATGATTTGGCCAACATCACAGGATGTTGGCAGTTATTCTTCCTGACGTCTCCCCTCCTACATGGTTCATAGATAGTTCAACCTCACCCCTTTCATACAAGGAAACTTTTCTGAGAGGTCCTGCACAAGTCACTTTTCATAAGCCTCTCTCTTCCTATTTTTCTCTCCAAATTCTCTCCACATTTGTGAGTTGTAGGCCAGTTTCCCAGATAACCTATTATCTTGGTATTTATGTTAGTTTGCATTCATAAACCCATTTCAGTTAAGTTTTAAATTATGACCAATTTTGATAGAGATAAACACATTCTCTCCCCATCCCTCAAAAAAAAAAAAAAAAAAACAACCTGAGAAAATCAATGTGATGATGAATGATTCATCAGCTGTTCAGAGGAAAGATTTGGTATTTGTAGCAGGCAGCTGCCTTCTTAACAGCAAGGAACGTGTCAAATGACAAGAAGTTTCTTTCTTGTTAGGAACACAAAGAAATTCACTTTCCTTTTAGCAACTGAACTGATTTTTTTCTCATTTCCATCTCTATTTGAAAACAGGCAATGGCAAAGGTTAAGTTCCCTTTCGCTTTTCCCCATTGGTCCATTTAAGAATGCTTAACTGGCTGAATTCATAAGGATACTTGTTTGAGGCTAATATGTGGATTTCTGTGAGTGGTGTGCAAATATAATTTTTCTAATTGAGTCATTTCTAATGCATTAGGGAGCTCACAATTCTAAGGATTATAATGATTAATGCTTTTGTAAACTGAATAATCATCTGCTAAATTTTTCAATCTGTATTTTCGTCTATCACCTGCAATTAATTTTGATCCACCACATGGCCTTCAAGGCTTAATTAGTTACCAAAAAGGTCAACTGAACTTCATTCAGAAAATCACATTTTAGTCAGGAGTGGTGGTGCACAGCCATAAGCCAGCTACTCCAAGATGATGAGGCAAGAGGATCATAAGCTAAGGGCTACACTGGGCACTTAGCAAGACCCTATTTCAAAGTAAAATAAAAAGGCTGAGGATGTAGCTGACTTGCAGAGTGCTTGTCCAGCATATACAAGGCTCTGGGTTCAATTCCCAGTGCCAAAAATTATTGTATTTTATATAGGGAAGCACCCACTGTAGATATTCAATAAATGTTTTAATGTATAAAATAAAATCAATATTTTATCTTGGACCATGGAAGAAAGCAGTGGTGGAGTCTTTATTATACACATTTTTCCCAAAAGTTGATTCTCCTTTGATAAGACCTTAAATGTGTGGGACAAATGCTATCTGTTTGGTAGAGCCCCAAATACCAACCTTCATTTTAAAGGTCCCTGGTGAGATGCTGGTGGGGAAAAAAGGCTTAATTCCATCCAGCAAATGTTCCTTATGATACCTCTTCTGTGTAAAGTGTTGGGCTGGGCTCCAATGATAGAGATAGCAATTCAGGCAAAGGGAATAACGTGGGCAGAAGACTGGCCCCAAGTCCTTGATTTCTGAAATCATAATCTTTGGGTGATATGACCTTGTTAAATCATGTCACCCCTCTCTGTATAAGTGTAAACCAGGCTGATCATTCCTGGTCCACCAACCTTCTTGTTATTGCAGAGAGTACTTGGTAACACTATTTTGTTTGTGGTGCTGTGAATGGAACCCAGGGCCTCATGCATGCTAGGAAAGTACTCAACCACTGAGCTACACTCTAGCCTTTGACTGCACTTTCTCAACAGTTCAGTACTGGCCTCAAAAGTGCCTTCATTCTTGCTGGCTCTTCTTTTCTCTCTTGTTTGGAATGTGGCTTTGCTACGTGGCAGAAACTACCAGAGAATGATTGGCCACTTCCCTCAAGTTGGCGGGAGGATTTGGCCAGGGTGATTCCTAATGGCTGCAAAAACTGCCAAAATGCTGGATCAGCACTTTGTGGTCTGGGGCTGGTTTGGGGCTGAAGCAAATCTTACGAATTACTCACCACTGGGGGTGCCATTCGTCTCTTGAATTATCTTGGGTCTGGCAGAAGTGAAATGCTCTTTCTTATTCCTGTTTCTCTCTCTAAGAGATTTTTCCCAACTTCTTTGCAGGTATCTTTTTACTCTTCAAATAAAGAAGGATTTGGCTCTAGGAAGGCTTCCCTGCAGTGACAACTGTACAGCGTTGATGGTATCTCACATCTTACAATGTAAGTAACTAATGTCTGCTTTGGGGCCTATCAGCCAGATGGAGACCCAAGCAAAAGAGCTGAACATCCCAGTGTGAATATCACTGTGTTAGGGCTTAAAAGGACAGACAGCCTGGATAAGATCTAGAGAAACAGCATGGTGCAGCAGAAAGAGGCTGCTTCATTGCAGCCATTGAGATTTGTATCAAACTCTGTTCTGTCTCTACTACTTCCTAACTGTGGAGGGCAAGTCCCTTTCCTTCTCTGAGCCTGAGTGTCCTTGCCTTTAAAATAGAAATAAGAATACCCTCTCACAGGGTGGTTCTGTAGATTAAAAGTAAATGCTGATTTTCTTTTACCTCAGTCCAACCTTCCCCTCCCACTGCCCCTGGGCTTGCTGTCCAGGAACTGGTTTGGACAAATCTGGGCATGGACTTTGCCAGGCAGGCACTGACTGCCTCTGTTTGCCCCCAGGATACATCTCTGGTATGTGCTCTCTGTAGCACACTGTCACGTTCAATATGATTTCTGTGTTGCTCTTTATCATGGTTTCAGAGAACAAAGCACAGAGTACAGCAGGTGGAGAGAGGCTAAAAGGGAAAAAGGCCCCAGGCATCTATTAGTGTTCCCCATATCCTAGCAGCCATAGTTGGACTAGACTGAATAACAAAGGTAGGCGGAGGAGGCAGAACAGTGGGGGCCTGCCTGGGAGGGTTGACACTGGACAGGCCAGGCTGCTCCTGTAGCCCTAAGGGTAGGGTCTAGGCAGCTGAAGATAACATCTCTTCTTCTAAGGCCAGCTGGACTTTCTCTCTATTTTAGAGGCCTCCCAAGAATATACTGTTCCTTAGTAATCCTGCAGGACCATAACTTCAGTTTCTTGTTTCATAAGTTCATTTTTGACCTCTGCCCCCTTACCTTTCTGCCAGTCCATAAATGGTTGATTTCACTAGGAACTCCAGAACGAAGTGCTTGCATGCGGATGGTGTCTGAATCCATGTTTATCAAGGGACTCCTGGCTGGGACAAATAAAAAGAACTGAAGTATCTCAGCAAGGCAGAGGGCAGTAAGAGCAATAGTAATCAGGGAAGGCTGAGGGAGGAGGTGGCTTTTGTGCTGGACCTTAAAGAGAAACTGGGGAATTGGATAGATGATAGGCAGAGAAAACAGCATGAAAGAAATGGTGGTGGGGCAAGAAGCAGCATATATGGAGGATGCAGAATGTCCCAGTAGAGCTCAAGCATGGTGTCTATTTAGGAGAAGTAGTGGAAAGTGAAGCATCATTTTGAAGATCCTGAATGCCAAGGTCATTAACCATGTGTCCAATATTTTGTTTGGCACTGGGATGTGGGGCCTGGGTAGAGCAGATGGAGGAAACATTGTTGGAAAACATCTTTCTCCATTGGCTGCCTCTTAAAGTAGCAACCAGGGGGTTGGGGTTTCTGGGTGGCCTTTTTTCGGGGAGCCCAATTTCATTCTTAACAATTCTGCCTTATGTGTTTGAGCATTCCCTAGTGGCCAATTTCAGGCATAGCATAGAGCCCTTCAGCTTTCCCAGGAGTTATTTTGTTTATCAATAGAAGCTCTTTCCATAGGGGAGCTGTGGAGGAGGGAACTAAACTTCCAGTGAGTTAGTTTTTCATAATTGATACTGGTCAGGCTCACTGGACACTGAGATAGTATGCCGGTCACAACCAGATTGCTCATTTATCTGTTCATTTATTCACTCATCCAATATTCGTTGAACACCTGCTGTATTCTAGGCATTCAAGAACCCCGCATCCTGACGTTCTTACCTGCTTAAGTCTGTCTTGGAACTCATCTTCTCTAACAGGACATTTCCTCTCAAACACAATTTATACATTTCAAATGAAGCTTCCCCCTTATGGACTCCCTTAGTAACCCTTCTTTGCCATTTATTCAACAAAAATTCATTTTTGCTTATCAAATACATGCCATGTGCCAGATACTATTATAGGTAATTGAGGCCACAGCAAGGAATTAAAACACAAATCCTCACCCTCATGGAGTTCACATGTTGACAGCGTTAGAAGGTGATAAGGGCAATGGAGAAAAATAAAGCATGGAAGAGAGATAAGGGATTCTGAGAGTGGGTACAATATTTAAATAAGGTGGCAAGTGGAGGAAAATGTACTGTGAAGGGAACAGTTGAACAAAGACTTGAAGGAGGTGAGAGACCAAGCCATGCAGCAAAATCTGGTGGAAGAAAGTTCTAAGCAGAGAGAACATTCAGTGCAAAAGGCCTGAGGTGGTAACATACTACGTATCTTGGGGAAACATCAAAAGCTATTGTGACTAGTTGGAGCTGAATGAGACATGGAGAGAGTAATCCTGAAGGGCCTTAGAGACCCTGTCTCTAAATAAAATATAAAAAGTGCTGGGGATTTGGCTCAGTAGTTGAGTGTCCCTGAGTTCAATACCTGGTTTTAAAAAAATTGAAAACCAAGTCCTAGGCACTCACCTGTAATTCCAGCAACTCAGGATCCTGAGGCAGAAACATCAAAAGTTCTGGGCCAGCCTTAGCAACTTACAAGACCCTGTTTCAAGAAAAGAAATAAAACATATTAAAGACATACAGCTTGACTCTAAAATGAGATGGGAAAGCATTGAAGCAGTTTAAGCAGAGGAGTGAAATAATCTGAATTAGATTTTAACAGGATCATGTTAATTGCTGTGGTGAAAAGAGATCTGAGGAGGGAATGGTGGGAGTGGGGAGACCAGATAAGGGGAAATTACAGGAGAGATAATGATAGTTTGGACCAGCATGGTGATGCTGAAAGTGCTCATGACATTTGTCACCTTCTGTTATTGGTGATATTTACTTATTTGTATGTAATAGTTCTCTTCCTAACTTGTCATAGTTCTGCATGAAGAGAAAAACAAGCCCAGTCTTAGATGTTCTTATGTTTTCAGCGTGGGGTCTTGTGTTTAATAATTCCAAAGTCTAGGGTTGGGGATGTGGCTTAGTGGTAGACAACTTGCCCAGGATGCGTGAGGCCCTGGGTTCAATCCCAGCACTGCACAAACAAAAAGCAAAAACAAACGAATATACTAAAGGACTTTAATAGCTACTTAGTTACTTAAGAAGGAAGAAAAATAAGTCAAAAGTTTGATGTGTGGTGTATTTTTTAAAATGGCTCTATTGATGTAGAATTTATATACAATAAATTCACCTATTTAAAAATGCACAACTCAACTCTGTAAATTTACAGAGTTGTGTAACCATTACCACAATCCAGTTTTAGAACATTTCTATAACATCAAAAGAGATCTCTCAGGCCCATTTGTGATCACACTCTGTTCCCATGCTTAGCTCCAGGCAACCACAGTTTATTTTCTGTTTCTCCATATTTGCCTTTTTTGGACATTTCATGTAAATTGAATGATAAAATATGTGGTATTTTGCATCTTTTTCCACTCATCATATTTTTTAAATTCATAAATGTTTCAGTTTGTTCCTTTCTGTTGCTGAATAGTATTCCATTTTATGTATGTACCATATTTTATCCATCTAATCACCTGGTCATGGACATTTGAATTATTTCCAGCTATAATAAATAATGTTATAAACATTGGCTCACCAGTCTTTATATGAGTATCTGTTTTCATTTCTCTTGGGCAGATTCCTGAGTGTTAATTGCTTGGTGTTGTGAAATACTTATGTTGAATATTTTAAGAAACAGCCAAATTGTTTTCCAAATTGTTACATTAACACCAGAAATGTATGAGGTTTTCAATTTTTCTATACCTTCATTAATATGTGATTATGAAGACATATCTTATTGCAATTATAATTATCAGCATTTTCCTAATGACTAAAGATTTGACACCTTTTTGTGTGCTTATCGCTGTTTGTTTGTTTTTGTAAAATGCTTATTTAAAACTTTTGCCTATGTTAAAAGAGTTATCTTACTATCGACCTTTTTTTGGGGGAGGGGGGAGGTGCAGGGTACCAGAGATTGAACCCAGGGGTGCTTAACCACTGAGCTACATTCCCCAGCCTTTATTTTTAATTTTAGTTTTATTTTGAGACAGGGTCTCACTAAGTTGCTGAGGTTGGCTTTGAACTTGCAATCCTCCTGCCTCAGCCTCCCAAGCTGCTGGGATTATAGGTGTGCACCACCAGGCCTGCCTCATTTGAGAATTTAAGACATTAAATTTGTCTTTTGACCTTATTTCTTGACTCTCAATTATAGTTCATCAATCTCAACATCTGTCCTTTTATCATTATTTACACTTACTTTATTGTTGTAACTTTGTTATAGGTTTTGAAATAAGCAACTGTACATACTCCAACTTTATTTTTTCTGCAAAATTGTTTTGATTAATTTGCATCTCTTCATTTCCATGTAAATTTTAAGCTTATTGATTTTTACAAAAAAAAAAAAAAAGTCTGTGGGATTTTGATGGGGATTGCCCTATGTTTATAGCTCAATTTTGGAAAAAGTTGCCATCTTAACAATAGCAAGTCTTCTAGTCCATGAACATGAAATATCTTTCCACTTGTGTAAATCATTTTTCAAAATTCATCAATGTTTGTAGTTTCCAGTGTACAAGTCCTACACTTCTTTTGTTTGATTTATTCCTCAGTATTTTATTCTTTTCTTGATGTTACTGTAAATGCAACTATTTTCTTATTTTTTTTTCAGATTGTTCATTGCTATTATATACAAATATATTTACCTTTTGTATATCAGGATTTTCTTGCTGAACTAATTTATTAGTTTTAGTAGTTTTGTGAGTTCTTTATGATTTTTGACATACAAGATCATGTTTACTCCAAGTAAAGACAATTTTATCTCTTCCATTTTCGAGCACATCCTTTATATATCTTCTTCTTGCCCAACTGTAATTTCTAGAACCACCAATATCGTGTTGGGTGAGATAGCAAGAACAGATATCTTTGTCTGGTTCCTGGTCTTAAGGGAAAGCATTTAGTTTCTAACCATTTGGTATGATTATAATAGTAGTTATAAGTTTTTTTCCCATATTTTTACTGG